TCTGATTTAAGACTGAGCTTCATGTTGGACCAGGCTAAGTCTAGATTGTTTGTAGCTGTCTTATTTTCTCATTTATTTTAAGATTTATAGTTTTGTTTTGCTCTTAAGATTTCAATGTTCCGCTCCTTTTGTCGCTTCAAGCAGATCGGAGGCAGCTACCTGTTTAAAGGCAAATTTATTTTTTCTATATACCTTGACAGATTTGATCACTCATGGTTTATTGTTAGGGTAAATCTGAACTCACAGGGGACGATCATGTATTTACAAAAAGCAGTATAGTAACATGTTACATCAGTAAGTTCATGTAAATCTTCACATGACTGCTTGTCCTAGTCAGCACAGTTATAGCATCCAGGCAGAACACCACACCGCTTCATCAAACCACAGGCCTTTATGTCCTGTATTTGAGTTTCATCCTTCTTCATGACAGTTTGATATATGGGCAGTAAGTGGACACAGTTGTGATCTGCAAGTCCCAGCGGTTGTAGTGGGAGTGATTTGTACGCATCCTTTACTGACCCTAACAGAAATCCAACCCTGGTCTCATTTGATGATAGGGATTCACAGCACTTGCTCAATTAATTTGACAGCTTACGGCAACATTATTTTGTTATCAGTTAGTGCGCTGATTAGTTTTCCAATTAATTGATTAAACATTTTCATTACTTGGTCAGACTTGGAGTCCCAAAACTAAAGATATTATTATCACTTTAGGCAGAGCAAGGTTGTAAATTCTCATAACTGAGAGGCATGACCTGAATAAATTACGCTTGGGGAAGGACTAAAAAACTTAAAACGTTTTAAAGGTAACGTTCCCTACAATGCATCATCTTCTAATCTGGTCATAGTTCATCCCTATTAATCATATACATGTTTAAAATCACTGCGTCTTGTGCTGTTCGATGTTTTGAGCTGATTATCACATGATTCAAGGAAGATACAAAACTATTACATTATTATCTTTGTCGACTGACATTTTTCTATTTATTTATTTATTTAATGGTTTATTTGATTGGAGCAGATACAATATACATAGACAAACTGAAAACAGCAATCATATAAAAGTATCACATAGCGGGTGCTGATTTGCAACACTTGTCTCTAGAAGGGCTTTTGTGTAAATAAAATATTAAAACCGTTAAAAAGAAAAAGAGTAAACTGGGTACAGAAAAATACAATAAGACAAAAAAAAAAAAGGATTTATTTTACATATTTAAAATACATTTAAAATCATTGTTGTTAGACTAGCAGTTCAACGCTGCTCGCTGCCTTCAATGCGACATATTGCACAGCCTGACTTCATATTTTTCTCTCGTCTTAAATAGTGCAAAAGGGAGTTTTTTTTAAACAGGAATGTTCTAGAAAATTAACTTTGTACAGTGAACTGCTGACAGGAACAAAAAACAACACGAGGGAGGGAAAAAAAATCCAACGCTGTCAGTGAAACAAAAATCATAATTAACAAGGCAGAAAAAACAACAACAACAAGAAGTGGAATAAACAGAAACCTACAAATAACGCTACAAACAATTAAACATGAGTACAAGTCTGTGGCTGAACTAACCACAATTTGGTGGCTCTCTTAACGGTGAAGTTCACAGTAAGCTTCAAGTGATCAGGTATAGCAAGTTCCAGGATGTTGCTCCTTTTACAGGAAAAGCTCAAATGTTTTTCAAAATAAAACTTTCCAGTTGCCACTTCAAGCTACTGTGCTGCAGCCCAGTCTCTGGCTGTATTTGCATAAAGGCTGAGGAGCAGGTCCGTTTAAACATTCAAACACAAGACTGACATAACGGAAGTCAATCAAATTTGTAAAACTTAAAATCTTGTATTTACTGTAAATACGGCAGTGATGATGTCTTGTGTTTTTTTGTCCAGAATTGCAGAGGCCCGATTGTAAAGGCACTATCGACTATCCGCTGTATGAGCGAAGGAAAAAAATAAATACTCACATTGTTCATTCTAAAATCTGCTGGGATAAATATTGAAGTTACTTCACTGTTAACTTCCCACCCTTCATGTCCTTTGATTCTTCAGGTGACACGTAAACATTTACACACATGATGTGAAGCAGACCTATTAGGTATAGGAAGATATCATAATGGAAGGCCATTTTCTCTTTTATTCTAAAAGCTATGTCTTTTATTATTATTATTACTACATAATTATATTTTTGTTTCATTATCTCAAAATGTCTTTATCTTTAATCTTTAAAATAAAACCCCTTCAACCACCTATTGTGTCTTAAAAGGTCCCAAAAAGAGCAAACGAGGAGCACTCTCGACAGCAACAAGACTAGAAAGAGACAGAAAGTTGCTGATGAAGGCCTATAGCGTCGAAACACGTCCGTTGCTGTTGTCGTTGCTGCTGCCTTACCCGGATTAAAGAAACCTAAAGGACATTTTTGCCTGCTGACTTTTTGTCTCTTTCTTGTCTTAAAAGGTTCCCAATAAAAACAAACGAGCAAACAAAAAGTTAAAGAAGTCCCACTCAGCTGTTTCCAACACATGACAACCACCACGTAGCCTCTTGGTCTTAATTAAGATCCCATGGTGTTTTCTACATCACATTACTGTCCTAACTTAATCCTTTCACTTAGAGCTTGAGCTAACCAATCATTTAAATGCATTTCTGACATTGTTCCCTTTATTCTAGATCCTTGCTTGTGTTGTACTTACTCTCTGATGTACGTCGCTTTGGATAAAAGCGTCTGCTAAGTGAATTGTAGTCTGTAGTTGTACTCTTTACTTGTGTATACACTTAAAGTGTATACACAAGTACTTTTATACTTATGTGTATAAAAGTAGCCTTGCAGCCAGCTCATTCATATAAGAGGGGGACTATGCTGTCTGGCTACTTTAACGTATAGACTAATAATACATGACTAATTTCATAGGGCTCTGAAAGTCTGGGTTTGTCTAGAAAAATTGAATTCCCTCGTCTGAATTTGAGGGCCAATGCTTCAGTCAACACGTGATTGAAAACAGGGTCTTCCTGTATTCAGTCAACAACAGAACATGACTGAAACACAAACTGAAGGGACACTGATAATAATATAGCCCATTAGCTAATTAAAGTGTTATGACATGTATGTATGCCTGACTCCAATAAAAAAAAGAATGTCTTCTGTGAATAACAACCAGAAAACAACAACCTGTGAACTGTAATAATAGTGTTACCATTAAAGCAGTTAGCAACACATTTTAGCAGTGGGACGTTTTTGAAACCAAGCCAGTATAGTGTTTGTTGTTTTTTTTTTGCATCACCTTGATAGAATAGAATAGATGTTTATTGCCATTTGCACAGGTACAGGACAGTACAGGTATATTGGAATTTTTGTGCGTTTCTCCCTGAGTCAGCGTCTACAAAAAAAGTTAAAATTATATATAAAATAGAAAAGCATTATGAGAAAAAAAAGAGTAGAAAAGTACAAATAAAATAAAAAAATAAATAAGTTGTAGTAACAGCTAAGTGAATTAAAATAAACTGTACAGAAGCTATACACTGTATTAAAGCAAAGATATAATACAAAACAAATAACACAAAACACACTCTCTACTTTCTACATCTCTAATTACACCTGAGATGGACAAACTCAATAGAAATATGTCAGTATTTAACTGAGTGTAATGAAGCAAAGTGGTAATAGAAGGAGCCTAATAAAAAGTAACCAGAGGGAAACACTTCTTTAGTCTTTGAATTTATTTAAAACCTGCTAAAATCTTGTTACAAATAACATTCAATCAAAGGGCTGATATCTCGTTTACACGTCGTATCAAAGGACCTGTTTGAAATGTTAAATATTCAGTGAAAGTGAAAGAAACAGGAAAACTGAATCATGATCTATGGCTACATACATTTCTGGAGACTGTTTCAATGGAAGGTGCAGACTCTAACCTGGTGGACGAATATAAGGAAGACCAACACATATGGAAAGACATTTTGGACATTATAAAGACTGTGCCGATATTCCCCACACTCCAAAGACAAACAGAGCAAGCTACGTAAACAGAAAATAATACCTCCCTAAGTACAGCCTCTGTTCACCCCTCTATAGCTATACGATATATACTTCCTCTGTGACCTCGTTTGTCTTTTGTTGTTGTTCTCTGCCTGTTTTTATTTTTTCTCTGTCTTTTTTTTGTTTGTTTTTGTTTTTTTGTCGGATGTTGCAATTGTCTTAACAAAAGGAAAAAATGTTAATGCATCCTGTAAGCTTTATTTATCTATTTTTTTATTAATTTTTTTATTTATGTATGTATTTTTATTTTTTTCTGTCTTTTTTTGTTTGTTTTTGTTTTTTGTCGGATGTTGCAATTGTCTTAACAAAAGGAAAAAAATTTAATGCATCCTGTAAGCTTTATTTATTTATTTATTTATTTTATTTTTTTTCTGTCTTTTTTGTTTGTTTTTGTTTTTTTGTCGGATGTTGCAATTGTCTTAACAAAAGGAAAAAATGTTAATGCATCCTGTAAGCTTTATTTATTTATTTATTTATTTAATTATTTTTTTTTATTTTTTTCTGTCTTTTTTTGTTTGTTTTTGTTTTTTTGTCGGATGTTGCAATTGTCTTAACAAAAGGAAAAAATGTTAATGCATCCTGTAAGCTTTATTTATTTATTTATTTATTTTATTTTATTTTTTTCTGTCTTTTTTTGTTTGTTTTTGTTTTTTTTTGTCGGATGTTGCAAATGTCTTAACAAAAGGATAAAAATGTAATGCATCCTGTAAGCTTTATTTATTTATTTATTTATTTTATTTTATTTTTTTCTGTCTTTTTTTGTTTGTTTTTGTTTTTTTCTCGGATGTTGCAATTGTCTTAACAAAACGATAAAAATGTTAATGCGTACTGTAAGCTGTCTTTAAAGTTGAACTTAAATAGAAATATTCAGTGAAAGTGACAGTAAAGGTTTCTCTTGTTCCAGATACAAATAATAGAAATTAAATTATTTTTACTATCCTTCTCGGGTGTTGTGACGCGGGGCATGCTGGGAAAAAAAACCAGCATCCAATATGGCGACTTCCACAGGAGAGGATGGAAAGGCTGTTTGTACCTCAGATGTGGATTTATTACTGCACCCCGAGCTTTTGTCTCGGGATTTTATGCAGTTAATATTAAGTGAGGTGAGTTACCCCGACGCAAACGAGTAAAGTCTATCTGAATACCGAGTTAGAAGAAGGGGAACACCGCTGTGTTAGCCGTGCGGGCTAACTTAGCCGTCTGTTTGTGTTTCATGACAACCAGATGTTAAAACATTGTTTGACATGTCGAGTAAGGCTAACAGCTGATGTCTCTCTTCAGAAACACGTCAGCATCAGCAGGTGTGAGAGTCGGGACCGCCTCACAGAGATTTACCTTCGACATGTGATCCCGCTGCCGCAGAGGACTTTACCGAACAGTCGCTGGGGCAAAAGGATGGAGAAGAGCCGGGGGAGGCAGACCCCGGCGGGTCAAAGGTCACACAGGTAACACAAGCTGCTGTACACCTGATGGCTGTTACTGGATGTATGATGGGATGTTAGGCGGCTCAGATACGTCATTTGGTTTTCCATGTATATAAAGGAAAATAAAACTTCTGAACATTATTTAAATCTAATAAATTGGACCTTGAGACTCTCGCAGGTTAACTTGTTCTGCACATGTTACATTTACTAATTATCCCTGCACTCATGTTCACTTCATCTGTCTACTCTCCGTTATATTGAATAGTTTCTGCTGATAACATGTCTACACTCCTGCACTTTAACTTATGTCAATACTGTTCATTTACAACTCTGTTTTTACACATTTACATTTAATCTTTCATATTTAAGACTAGTAATGTTTAGTTAAATCCTGGTTGTATATATTCCCATTCTTAGTTTTGATATTTTTAGTGCTTATTTACTTTGTATTTAATATTATATTGTGTTTAAATTTGCTAATATTGTGTTTTTTTGCTCATATTGTGTGTTTGGATAACCTGCTGCTGTAACGCCACAATTTCCCAGTTTGGGATCAATAAAGTAACTCTATTCTATTCTATTCTATTTTATTCTATTATTTTTTAGTGTTAGTGCTGCAAACTCCTGGAACATTTTACAACAGGACCTGAATTTGAGCACTTTTATCCCTTATGGACACTTTAAGAAATATTATTTTTAAACGCCCAATACCTGACTGTAACTGTTTTATTTGATTTTAATTACTTGACTTATCACTGTAGTAATTTCACACTTTTACATTATTTTAGTGTATATATTTTATTGCTCTTTTATTGATTTTATTTTCTGTTATCTCACTTCTCGTTGTTTATCATTTATGTATGTTTTCTCGGCATCATTGTAAATGAGGGTCGCCCTCAGTGATCTCTCCGAGAACTTAAATAAAGGTTAATGATGATGATTACGTACACGCATTACGTCCAGCAGGTGAGCCCGGTGTGGTGGACAAAGTTTTCATTTCATTCACTCAGAGGTCCAGTATGATCAATTCCGGGACCTGTTGACAAAGTAAAATGGCATAAATCAAATAAAAGATTGACAATTGCGTCTTCATTGGCATATATGCTCTGGAAAATATAATTCACGTTGTTATTTTTACCTGAGCAGAACCTAATGTGTTGTTCATTCAATCCACCATTTTTGCACCGCCATGTTTTTCTACAGTAGCCGAGAAAGGTCAAACCAAGATCTTTCTCGGCAGTCGGCTTTTTCACACGTTTTTTTTTTGCTGTCATTTTTGTTGTGCTGTTATCCTGCTCAGAACACATGGGCAGTAGAAAGGCTAACAAAGATTGTTTTTTGGAACAAAGGTTATGCCGTGTGTCACTAGAAAAGCAGTTGAACTCGGTCTCTCTTGTGCTCCTCTTCTCAATTCATATGAGCGCAAGTCATCAAAATATCAAACTGAGGTGAAGATGAATTTATGTTTCAGTGTACCCTTGAAAATCTAAAAGCACATAGTAATGTATCTCCCAGTAAACCTGCATAAAAAATAGATTTATGTGTCATTAAGAGTTACATTACATCCATTTGAATGTAAAAAAATATTTATTGTTGTTTTGTTATTTCCATCTGCAGTAACGATCACAATAGAAAAAGGCCTGTGATTGTGTTCGATGGCAACTCCTCCAACTCTGGCCCATTAAAAGTAAAGAAACCCGAGGGAACCTCTGCGTCAACTGGAATCACCGACAGGTTAAAACCGCCCCCTGCTGCAAACCTGCACAACCCCATCCGCAAGTTATCTGGAAACACGACATCCTCTTCCTCATCCATCCACAGCAGCCCGGACGCAGCCAGTCTGAAACGGGAAGCCAATAGCTCGGTAAGAAAGTTTTTGTTTTTATCATCTTAAATGTGCTTTACAAACAAGTTCTGATTGGTGAAAATGGTGCAGAATTAGTTGTACTGTTTTTGTGCTACTTGAATTTATCTGTGTTGTATGTGTGTAAACCACAGCAGGAAACGAACACACTCCCATTTTAATTTCTACAAACGAGTAAGAAGCAAAAGGAAAACAATCTTTAAATATTTCTCATAAACTGATGGTTACATCTCATCTGTATTCTTATCACCATGTTTTTTTTATACATGTGATTCTTTGATGTGCAATTTATCAAAACATATTTTCTAATGTACAAGTTATTTGTTACACACCGTATCTATTTTATTATGAGTTGATAACAAGATGATCCATACTTTGTTAAGGAGTTAACTTCAGAGATCACAACTGTTAGAAAAAAAGTGTTTTCTAATGGTCACATTGTTTCAATCTGTGCAAAACAGACAAATCATGCGATGAAATATTATAAATCATACTTTCAACAGATCTGCTACCCTTTTGCAGTATGCGTTAAGCTGAGTGGATTTATTTAGTTTTTTATGTTGCTTGTTTTTCTTCCATTTCCTCAGGGTTCAATGAACTCTCCAGAGGCGAAGAAAAAGATCCAGCATGTGACATGGCCCTGACCGATGCCCCTCTTCACACAGACCTGATGGGAGCCCACACTCCAACTTAATGTTGTTGCTAACCACCTCTTACTCTCTCAATCGTTGTTGTCTCACTAACGGCATCACGGACAGGGATAAAAAAAACAAACTTTTATCCTGTGTGAAGGCCGATCACAGCTCTGGTTCTGGAGCTGTAAGCAGATAGGATGATGTGGAGTAAAGAGCTTCCTCTTGCTTTCCCTCAACCTCAAGTGGCCTTACCATCAATGATAAGCAACTCAACTTAAAGTCCCCCCACATGGAGACCTAGAGGAGAAAATACAACTTGTTTTCTGAAATAAATTTATGGAAATGATGGTTGTTGATATTCTGTTTCTGGGCACGATTTGGTTCTGTCAAGAAGGGAGGGATAGTAAGTCATGAAGAGATTTGATTTCAAATGCCACTGTCTCTCATAGTTGTCATTGTTGAATAAATATTGAACCTCAACAAGATGGACCTGAGAGGCTTTTTGTACAAGTAAACAGGCAGTGATTAAATCACAGTATTTCTCTGGTGTACCTTTAGAAAAAAAAAAAAAAAAGAATCCAACCCCTGATTATGCTGAAAATGCTGCGGTGGTACTTAGTGTCAGTCTTATTAAACTCCATTTCACTGAGGTTTGTAGTCATTAAATCCTTTGTGCTATTTCACAAAATGTTCAGGTTTTTTCAGAATAAAAGCAGAGCGGTATTGGAACACGATGAGACGAGATGTCTATTGCTAATTTTGTCACAATAGGAAGCAGGGAGCTTACATTCATGTGTGTGAATATACAACTTTTTAATAACACAAACAATTAAAAGGAATACGACCTAAAGCAAGAACAATGTTTTTTTTTAAAATATATGTATTCATAATTATGAATACATTGACTCTGTAGTTATTATCTGTGAATATGATGTCATCAGGAACACGATAAACAAAAGCATTTTTAATTCTTGTCAGATTCATTGTCATGTTTGTACCAACTGATTTTTAAATAAAGTGTCTCAATAAAATGCATCTATTTTGGTGATTAAATTACACCAGGAATTCCAGCTGCTTTGTGCAAATGCTTGGTGGGCTTTACCTAAAATACAGTAAATAGTATTTTATCTACTTTTGTATTATAGAGTTAAGTTTAAAGCCCAAGTTTCTCTCAAGAAGTCAACTTATGTCTTAAATTTGTCTGCATTTTCTGCACCAAAGTTCCAACATTATGACTTGTTTTTATATGAATGATTCTTTAAGGAGGTGTTCACACATCAAACTATCTCATGAAGTAGGTGCATGGGACGAGACACTATCACTTGAAAAGAAAAAAATCTGCACACTACTCTTGCTACGTATCACAAATTTATTAGAAAAATTACAAACATTTCAGTCACTGAACAACATAGATGACAAAGGTTCAGAGGGACGGAAATGTGAATTTTTCTAATAAATCGGTGATACTTAGCTTAGAGTAGTGCGCAGGATTCTTTCTTTTCAAGTTATATGAATGATTCTGAAATGCATTTATGCAGAGTAAAGACAGTTTTTGAAATGTTTATTAGGTAATAGAAGAGCTCATTCACAAACCCTTTACTAATTACAGTATGAAGCTAGTCCATGCACAAAGCAGTGATTATTATAACACGTCAAAGTGGATAATCATTCACACATTCATATTTTAGATTTATGTCTTAGAGCTTCACATAGTCGATCTGCCCTCACGGAGCTGTTTCCTAAGCAAAGGTCTCTACATTCATGCCAACAGTTGTAACATTAGTAATGATTTTTTTCTCAGAGAACGTTTAACTTAAACTTTTTAACTTCAAAAGCACTGTTAATAGTTTATATTTCATGGCAACAATGTACATTTATAGTAATTCTATAAGGATGCTATGGAGGCTTAGCGCTGTGCTTTGATAGTATATTATTATATCTCTGTTGTTTTATTGTAACATAGCCATCAAATCTAAGGTGTCTGTCTCCCCGCGCACAGAATTAGATGTCCTTGCCACACTCTGGGCACAGGATGTCATCACGCTCAGTGAGGAAGCCACGGCCAACCAGGGACACGGAGCACTTCTTACAGTTGAAGCAGTCATTGTGCCACTGGCGCTCCTCGAAGGAAATGTACTTGCTGCCTCCAAGGCCTAAATAAAAAAAAGTGATGGATAAATCATTAAATATTGTCAGATAGAATCCTTTCAGTTTCTGGGAAACAAAAAAAAAATCATGATTACCGCTAATAGGGGTGGTGCAGGAGGCACATTTCTTTGCATACAGGTTGCAGAAGCAGTTGAGACAATAGGCAAAATCGTCTCTCGAGGTAAACCTCTGGCCAGACAGCTGCTGCTTGCAGCTAGTGCACAGGAAGCAGTCCTTGTGCCAGGGCTGGTCGTGGTAGGTCACCCCGCCAGTGGTGATGGGCTACAAAGAGGGAAGAGTGACACTTCTTAATGCTTTTGTTTGTTGCACACCTCATGGTCCTCTCGACAGTGATTGAATAGTAGGTTGAAAATCGTTTTAGGTATTTTTAATATGCAAAATTCCTTGTCCTACCTTCTTGCAGTGCACACACTGCATGGCAAACTGCTTCTCATAGCAGGGCACACAGAAGTTGCTGTTGTCCTTGGGGATGAAGCTCTTGGTGCCAATTGGCTGCTGGCATCTTTGGCAGGTGAAACAGGTCTCATGCCAGCTGTTCCCCTTGTGCTCCATCTTCCTGGAGCCTGAGGAGAAATATGAAGAAATTGAATAATTAAAGGTAAAATCAAAATACATTTTTATTTCTGTAGTCAAGAACTAATATACATCTCATAATGTCTTCCAAACAGTCAGTTAACTTCATTCTTTGGAAACATAAAACATCTATCTTTTTGGAGGATGGTTAAGATACCTCGCATTTTTGATAACAGTGATGACCCGTGTAGTCATAATATAAACTGAGGTGTGCTACATTTTACATTTTTTCAGAATGTGTGGAGTTACCTGCACTACATTATTATATAGTCAAATATGTACACATACGGTCTCATTTTGTTTGAGGGTTGAAAAAGAAGTGGCAGAGTTTTATATTGTATAAAAGTATATAGAGTATATTCTGTAAAAGTTCTATTTGTTTGTACATGTGTAATTTCCAAATTAGACTTCGGGAGAGTGAAATATTCGATATACTCACTCACTTTCTAAAATGTGGATATATTTTTATATTCCAATTGAGTGTATTATCTACCAGATTTCCACTATGTGTAGCCTACAGGCTTTTAAAAATGTGCACATAAAAAAATCGTCCCTGTATGCTGATGATCTTCTTTTATACCAAGCTAATATCTTTTGTGCCGTGATATCATTATAACAAGACAAAGCTTAAAAAATCGTCCCTGTATGCTGATGATCTTCTTTTATACCTAGCTAATATTCTTTGTGCCGTGATATCATTATAACAAGACAAAGCTTAAAAAAATCATCTCTGTATGCTGATGATCTTCTTTTATACCTAGCTAATATTATTTGTGCTGTGATATCATTATAACAAGACAAAGCTTATTGTTTTTATACAAAACATGTGTTGAAACTAATTGTGAGATTTGCCTGTTAATATTGGCTTTACTCATATGTTGCTCTTTCTGTGGCTGCCTTTCTACCTGGCATGATGGTTTTCTTGCACTCGTGGCACTTAGAAGAATACTCGTTGGAGTAGCACTCAGTGCAGAGGAGCTGGTCATCTTTGGTAGAGAAGGGCTTGTCCACCAGCGAGCGCTTGCACTGGAAGCACTTGAAACACTCCTCATGCCAGTGGCGGTCCTTGTAGGACAGATCCTGCAGGAGCAACAGATGGGTAATTAGAGAGCTGTAATGATAATGAAGCCAGAAGGTGTCAGAGAAATCATAAAAGGGCTCGTGTACAATGCACTTCGGCACATCTCGTACCCTGGTGTTGCAGCCAATGGGCTTCTTGCACTCCTCGCAGGTGTTGGAGTACAGGCTCTCGTAACATTTCACACAGTAGGGATTCTCCTCTCTCAGGACGTACTTCTTCCCAAACAGGGACTCCTTGCAGTAGTGGCAGTCATAGCGCTCGGTCATTTTGACCCAGGGTCACTTACCTGCGAGAGAGAGGGACAGAGAAGGAGACACAATTATTCAGAGGAGATCAAGTATTTTATCATAGGAAGGCAAACAGACATGGAAACAATTATTTTAACATAAACATTTTTTATTTTGTGATTTTTTGAAACTCAACCGTGAAGTTGTAGACAGTTTTTTTCTTTGCACAGCTGCAAAGACATCTTTACAGTGACATTCGGAAGAGACCAACTCTTTAGAGATTATCATTTCAAAACAATAAATATTTCCCCGGGACGCATTTAGTATCAAGATCTTCCACATCACAGTTTTTTTTTCTGTGTTGCATTTCCCGCCTTTCATCTCTCTACCATCTCCCAGAAGTCCTTCACTTGGTTCTGGGTGTCAGGAATGGAAAGGTGACAGATGAGGAGGTTATAAATAACTCCTATCAGTCCTGCTCAGAGACGGTCAACTCTTGCCCTGCTGCATACCAACGCTCGCCATGCCACTGTACACTGACCGATCCATCACCTCACATCCAGCTGTCAACGCCAGATCACTGTATCCCTTGTGGTCCTACATTTGTGTACATAAGTAAGCGTGTGTGTCAGTGTATAAGTGGGTTTGAATGGCACATGCTATAATTGCTGCACTCAATCTGCAGCTGTTTGTAGGCGACCTGTTGAGCCCTCTGGTTATCCCACCTGTGCATAAATATTCTCTGTTGACCAAGAATAGTATAGGCTATTATGTTTAAGTTGGTGTACTGTTGTATGTGTTTGAGAGTGGATTGAATGGACCCAAAGAAGAAAATAAACTCTATTATTAAGGGGACTTTATGGTCATAGATTCTTCAAAAAACTTAATCACATAAGGAAGAGAAAGGAAAACGGAAATCTCAAATTGAATTTCCTCTTTCCCATTCCATCCTAAACTGTTACATTCATGTTTGATTACTTTAATTTCTTGCATTCTGTTTGTGCTTTGTGCTGTTCATCTGTTTTAATCAGCTTTCTTATAGAATGTCTTAAGCCTTTGTCTATTTTTTGATCGCTGTGGTTCCCCTAACCTCACCAGTCCAACATGAGCTCTGAGATTGATTTCAGGGAGGGGGGGGGGGGGGGTATCTTTTATCTTGCTGAAGTTGAGACGTTTTAATCTGACTGTCCTTTCTGTTCGCTTCTAAACCCGTCCCACATTCCCTCATTGTCTGCTGCTCCCACCATGACTCACCTAGCTTATATAAGGATTTATTTGACTCCTAAAAATAAAAAAGGGGATAATCTCGACTGCCACAAATAAAACCTTTGAGCTGTTCAGATATGTCAGGCAGCTGTTTCCCAGCTTCGGGGGTTCTCTTTGATGCTGCCCATTTGGGGGTCTCTCAGCGCAAATATCTTGATGTCGAAAATGAGCCCAAAAGGCAAGTTACATGTACCACTGTGCAGAATGGTCTATCTCCAGAAAGTTCCAGTGTTTAAAGACAGGTTTCATCCAGACAACTAACTCTCTGCAGGTTTCTAAAAATGGCAAGGCTTGACATTAAGTTAAGTTCAAAAAGCAAATCTTTAATCTGGTGAATTTTAAAAGTATAATATGGCTCAAGAAATTCTGCAATTTATCAATTTTTTTTCCTCGATTTTGCAGATGTTTTAAAGAGGCATAAAATGATCTTGAAATGCCTTCTAACCATCTAAAAAGCATGCACATCATGTAGAAGTGCTTTATTTTGGGGCTCCGGGAGCGCAATGATTACTGCAGGTGCCCCATGTACAGAGGATTAGGTCCTGCAGGCGTGCGGCTCGGTATCAAATCCAACACATGGCTCCTTTCCCACATGTCATTCCCCACTCTCTCCCTGATTTCTGGCTCTATCCACTGTCCCATCTCTAGAATAAATTCCTAAAAAGCTCCAAAATAAACCTTTAAAATAAGTGCTTTATTTAACCGCCTGACAGCCATTCTTGTCAATTAACCAAATATGCACACGGACAACAACTAAGAATAACCTTCTCATTGGATAATGTAATAAGTTCAATAGAATTAAGCGTTAAACTGAAAAAGTGGCATAAAGGACGCGGTTATTGAACTGCCAAGTCCAAAATAATAAAAAATGTAAAAGCGCTACAAATAAAGGTTTGCAATTCAACTTGACCCATTTGATTAACTCTTAAACTAAACACTACTGCTCAATCATTTTACATAACCTTTTTCCACTCAGCGGATCTCTTTTCATGAAGCACGTAAATCTTTTAGTCGTAGTTTTGTGTTAACAGATACTTTTTGTTCTCTCTGAGAGTTTTGACTGCAAGATTTTGTACAGACTATACATCCGACTAAAACGCTTTAAAGCCAAGGAAAAGCAAGAAGAAGAAAAAAACAGACCAATGGTGTATTAAAAAATGTGAAGCTGACACCTTTATCAACACATTTGTGCCAAAGGAAGGTGTGAGCTTGATGGAAAAGGAGGAAAGATGATGGGTGAAATGAGATTTGTTTGCAGGGGTCAAAAGGGATTGTGCATTTTTGGGACAGTTAAAGAAAAATATTATTAAAGGGAAAAGGAGGTCAGGCCGTCTAAGAGACAGACACAAGGGCAGGTGGAGAAGGAAGACACGGTTAAATGGTACAGGTGATGTGCAGAGGGAGAACATGAGCAGGTGGGTGGGGAGGCAGAGAGGAGGATGCCAGAGCAGCTGTTTTTTTTTTTTTCTGGAGGATGGATGAAGACCAGTGAAAGGATGAATGGGGTGGAAAGATGGACAGGTGGATGGATGGATAGTTGGAGCGGGGTTGAACAGAGTTGGGTCTTACCTTCCTGTCTGAGGAGTGTGTGCCTGTGCGGAGTCTGGGGCAGACTGAGAGGACAGGCTCCGGGTGGGCTGTAGTAACTCCTGATTGCATTACTCCACCCATCAGGGGCTAATTGAAAACAGGGGAGGGGCAACAGAGCAATGGGGGTGGTTAAGGGGGCAGGGAATCTTTTTTCAGATGATCTATAAATACAGCGGCACTTCACAGAGATAACCCCCAGGCCCCCTTTCACTTGCAGTCCTCAGCCAAACCGTGTGGCCTTTTAAGGTCACTTACATGTTCACTCTCTCAAATACTCACTCAGTGTTTCACTTTTTCACTTGTATCTTTTGTAAATATCTTTGTTCCCCCCCTCCACACCAGCCTTATCATCTCATTCCTCCCTATCCTGCTTCCTGGAAAAAAAAGTCATTCTTCTAAACTGCTGTTTTCTTTACATGAGAGATTTCTGTAAATCATAATAATCACATTATTGCACGGACACACAAATATGCGCACTATTACGTAATACAACAACCTTCTAATGGCCTTTAACCACGTGATGGAAAAGGATGCAAAGGGTCAAATGTCAAAGATCGTTGTCCTGTGAGATTCGGCCCCTATAATCAAATGTCTCATCTGTCTCTACCTTCCCATATTCCTCCTCACAGGGGAATACGCGTTGAATCCCATACCTCCGACTGAGTTTGGTACAGCATCCAGGCCTGGTAATGACAGACGCCCACATGGTTTCTAAGAAAATTGTAGCACTATTTTCTGCAACCCCACACTCTCTTGTTAACACTGCTTCACCACCCCCCCACCCCCATCAACCTCTCCCTGTCTATCTCTGTTTGTCTTTCCCCCCCATGTTTCTCTCCCCGTCCAGTAGGTTTTCCCGACCTAGGGGTCCCTGGACACTCTCCAGAGTGAAAATGCGTCACTACATTCAAGTGCTCTATTTGTAGACCGCCAGAAAGAGATTGTGGCTTCACAAAGTGTCAGTGTTTATATGTGCTGTGTCTATTTGTATGTATAAATACAGTATGTGTTTCATTCTGGATAAAACTGATCAGTCTACCACCTAATACTAGATGAAACTTCTCAACATGGTGATGGAAGGATTGCTATAACATTTTGTGCAGGCTCCAGATAATAAGAAGCCTTTTGACCATCCTGATCCTTAAAGTTTGTGGTTTTGGGCAAACTGTCAATTTATTGGATTTTAATGAAAAACACACATTTATGTCCCCCATTCAAGATGAATGAAGTTTTTATCAAACACCATCATACCTCTAGACGTTAAACATGTCTTTTACTCTTTGACTGAATACCTGCAAAGCCTTTCATGTTCCCATGAGCCTCATTTGTTCAGTCTTCTTAATGCTCATATGTTAGCATGCTAACACCTTCGATTAATGTGGTCAACTGGTATTTTACTTAATAAACATTATGTTTAAATTGTCATTGTATGCTAACACACTAAACTAAGGTGGTGAACATGTACAATTAAGATCAGCAAGCAAATGTGTTATAATGCTAACACACTTAAAGGCTTTTTGATCCAGTAGATGTCGCCCTTGAGCACCAGCATGAAACCAAAACAACTCGCGGTGCATTGTTGTGTTAGCATGCTAATGCTAGCGATCTTTATTATGCTGGTATCTTCACACTGCATGTAAATTTACCTGAAATGAGCGTGATCTAGAAACACAGTTAAGCAGTGAGTACAGTATGTTATTCTTCTTTTCTCTAGTCCCTCAATTAAACAACTTTTATACACGAGGGGAGGAGTCAGCCGGCCGTCCCGGCGATGTAAACAAAGTGAAGATAGGACTCTGAAAACTCTGAAAACATCACAGACAGTGGGACTTGGGTGTTACACCCATTGTAGACAGTCATGACTCAGAGTTATTTTCAGAGGAGATACTTGATTTCTATCATATTTAAGTGTGAAAAATCACATATAAAGCCTTTAACTAGCTAATAGAGTATACCTACTTAACATGTGTGTAAACTTTATCATTGTTAGCATGGTAACACATTAAAATAAGATGGTGTCCATGGATATACCTAGTTAACATTAGCATATTAACATTGTCATTGTTTGTATGCTAACAAAATAAACAAAGATTGTTTGTGAGCATATAAAGCCTACACAGCATTTGGATAGTTTTGAGATAGTCAGTATGCCAAAATTAGCCTTCAGGTCACAGCACTTAAGCACTAGTACGACACTATGTTGAAGTACTCAAAGAGCAGCTAGCATATCTGTTAAATCTTAGTGTTGTTAGATTAGCTGGGGACCACCATCTTGAAAAAGGTCTTTCACATCAAACATCTTCTTAACTGCTTTCTGTTAATCCTCACATGTACTGCTATAAGAAAGCTGGTACCATAAAATGACATGTCATCATATCAACTTTTCATTATATCTAAATTATGGCTCATCCATCACTAAGGCCACCCTCAACACGTTTGAAGCATGCAAAACAAAAAAACAGGAAGCTGTGAGTATAGGACAGAATTGAAGTCAGATGATAGTTTGTTAAGACAGAAAACAGAAGACGATGTGTTAGTTCAGAGGACAGGACTGGGAATGGGTAATCATTTGATTACTCTGGCATGGCATGGCATTTTTCATACATGCTTACATTAGGCTTTGGTAAGTTCCTGAGTTCCCCCTGAAAATGTATATCATGTTCTTTTAATTTTTAGATGTGTTGTCCAATAAGTATGTCATGAGGCAAATATGATTTTCATGCCAAACTGAAACATTGCCATGACTTCCCTTATGTGCCCTCAGTCCTTGCCCCTCCTCAGTGTTTGCGTCTTGCCTGTGTTCAGCTGGCTCAAAGTTATCTCAACTCTTTGCTTTGGTTCGAGGCCTCCGACTCAGCTGCTAAGGCCGGGGGGATAAAGTTGCAGCTGTCTGGGCACTGCAAGGCTAGCGTGATGCTAAAGCCTGGTGCTTACTGCTGCTGCAAATACAGCCATGTGGAAAGGTCAAGCCAGGCAGACCCCATCATCACCATTGGACTGTTAATCATTAATGCAACAGCAAACCAATTGGACTGGAATTTCCGTGGGTCGTCCAAGATCCCCGTACAAGATATGATCCTCTGGAAGAACTTCACTCCACTGCAGACTGTCAAACAGGTTGAAATGGATCACAGAAACTGAGAACGTGCAGGGTCATAATGAGCGTCTCGAATTGGCAATTAGAACTGATGAAGAGGGACAGAATCATTTTGGGCTCCCACTGTGGGGGATAAGGTTTCTTGCAGCTTAGCAAATGTGCAGCAAGAATTCATTAAGGACCACATTAGTCTAGATTCGATGTTGAAACCTTAATGAATAGTTTGACATTTTGTGTTATACTATTATTTTGTTTTTGCTGAGAGTTATATGAGAAGATAGTTAACACCCTTACAGTTTATATTTCAGTTCGATATAAACTACAGCTAGCAACAAGTTAGCTAAACATAGCACAAGGACTGGGGAGCAGGGGTCGGTTACACAGCAAGCCTGGCTCTGTCCAACAAAACAAAATCCAACAACACCTGTGAGACATTGGAAAGTTACTGCTGCTGGCCAAGAAAATAGTCTCACATACAAGACACAACTAACTTGGTGTTTGCCTGCACTTATTTAACAAGCAATATGTTATGCGTTAACTAAAACTTGAGGGATGCTGGTTAGAGAATTTTGTTGAACAGAGGCTATTGTCATCGGTTTTTTTTTTGCTAAGTGAAGCTAAGCTAACAAGCTGCTGTTTGTAGCTTTATCTTATCTTTAAAGGCTTTATCTGTGATTTTTCACACTTAAATGTAATAGAAATCAAGTATCTCCTCTGAAAATAACTCTGTGAGTCATGACTGTCTACAATGGGTGTAACACCCGAGTCCCACTGTCTGTGATGTTTTCAGAGTTTTCAGAGTCCTATCTTCACTTTGTTTACATCGCCAGGACGGCCGGCTGACTCCTCCCCTCGTGTATAAAAGTTGTTTAATTGAGGGACTAGAGAAAAGAAGAATAACATACTGTACTCACTGCTTAACTGTGTTTCTAGATCACGTTCATTTCAGGTAAATTTACATGCAGTGTGAAGATACCAGCATAATAAAGATCGCTAGCATTAGCATGCTAACACAACAATACAGCGCGAGTTGTTTTGGTTTCAAGCTGGTGCTCAAGGGCGACATCTGCTGGATCTGCTACATCGTTTTACTTTCGGTGCTTGAGCTAGCTTCTCTAAAATTATTTTTTAACACACAGGCATGAGAGTCTTCTCATTTGACTCTCAGTATTAAAGTGAATAAGGCAAGGCAAGTTTATTTCTATAGCGCATTTCAACATCAAGGCAATTCAAAGTGCTTCACACAAGACAACAAAAGCATCATGACAGAGGAAAGAAAATAAATGTTAAAATAGAAAATTTAAAAATCACTAAAACAAATAATCACAATCACAAGTTTAAATCTGAAAATATGTTAAAATGAAATGTATTTAAATTAAGAAAAAAGCAGGTCAAAAAAAGAAGCTAAAAATGTATTTTAAATACAGATGAGCATTTTCCCAAGTGTACTCCGTGGTTGATGTCTGTGAAAAGTGCTAGGCCTATATAAATACACTTTACCATCAGTGCTTATACTGCAAACCTAAAAGACTGTTAAAGCCCCCTGTGAAGTCTGTGTTTACGTTATTCATATACTTCCATTACTGCTAAAGTAAAGGACATAATATATGAAGTTATGGTTTGTTTGTATGTTTGTCTTGAAGCAATTCCATTTAAAGAAGATGGTCCTTTCCTTAATGACATATAAGTAAGCCAATTTAAGGTAATACGGGCATATGTTACTTATTAGAATTCAGCCCCAAGCCCAATACAATTTGGCTTCACTAAATTGCTCCTTTTATTTAATTCAAAGGACATACAGTAGGTACTTTTTTCTGAATGGAAATCTAAATCACATTACAAAGATGAATGATTACAGCATGTGACTTTTTGGTGTGTTCCTAAATTAACTGACATATTTTTCTGGATCATTTATTGCATGATCATGGCCTCTGTACGAAAAAAATCTGCAATGTTATT